TGTGCGTTCATGTTACCTCTGATAAAGATTAAAGGTGACCTGGAACCATAAGCTATAGCACCCCAAACCATAACTCCAACAGTGTGATGAACATGTCTTTCAACAAAAAACTGTGGATTCCTTCTTTCACCACGTCGCCTTCTAATCCTGGCACGACCATCGTGCATGCCTAAACAAAATCGAGACTCGTCACTAAAGACAATACTGTTCCATTCCTGATCCCAGAGTGACCGTTGTCTGCACCACTCAAGGCGATTACGTCGGTGTTCTCGAGTTAAAGGGAGGACCCAGTGTGGCCGGTATGAAAACAAGCCAAACCTTCTCATTCGTCGGTAAACACTTCGCATGCCAATAGGTCTTCCGTGTTCTGCAAACCATTCATTTGCAATGGACCTGGTAGTGGAGAAACGGTCTGTTGTTCTACGGCGGCGTTCAGTGCCCCTTGCTCTTTGCGTACGGCCTTCTCGAAGCCATGCCTGACAACACCTAATCACAGTGTCTATACTTCTTTGCACTCTAACTGCAATTGCCCGAAAAGAAAGTCCAGCTTCCCGAAGTCCCACCATACGGCCCCCTATCAAACTCACTAAGTTGACGAAATCGTACAGGTCTCCGTACTCTAGGCATCGTAACCGATCGTAAAGGATGTCAAGAACCAAAATCCGCCAACGTTGATTCTTTACTGCGGCTGAAATATTCATTTTTAGAGCTTTAGTAAAAAAGCAGTACAAAAACCGAAATGTCCAACTGATAAGGCTGAAAATTTTTTCACTTGTTATTTACAGTAAGATAAATACTTTCACCAACTTTTATTAAAATAAAACCATTTAAACTGGGTGTTCGGATTTATATGTCACTTAGTATATTATAGCACAAATGGAAGACAAACGTGAATCAATATTTTTTACAATTTATTATTATATTTATTACTATGAATTGTTTGAACAAATTTATTGGAAGATATAAATGATTGTATTAGAGTGAGAGTAAAAGTAAATGATTTTTGTTAATTTATTATTATTTCATAGTAATTTAATTTTGGGATTTCCCGATTTTCCAGGAAAACAAAATTGTACCAGATGTCATTATTTCGACGAGTTATCCCAAATTAATAAGTAGAAAGTTCTACGTTACTTAGAAGACGAGATAATGCAAAATTTTGCAGCGTGATCCGATTTGAAGACTCAATTTCACAAAATAAATCAAGCTAGAGCTGAGTCCCCCACCATCTCACCCGGAAATACTTACGCGAGTACGTTCACTGTAGGAGACTATTTTTTGAAGACCTTTAAACTAATAGTAAGTTTATAAATTGGATCATAAAATTGGGATCCTTGCTTAAATTCTGTTAAAATTTCGAGTATAAATGTTTATAGAGGAGATATGATTTAAACAGAATATCTTGGGTCCTATTGGTCGTAGGTTTTTCAAAATATGCGTTTCTTAACCACCTATCCAGATCAACTTGTTGAAATAAATCATACTGAAAAATAACGAGGTTATTATAAATGTTCATAACTATAAAAATGGCCATTTCTTTAACATGATTTTTAATAACAATTTTGAAACAGATAATTAATTTTTTGCATAAATTCTTGTAGTTAATACCGTCAAGAATCCATTTCGCTTTTGCAAAATGTTCTAGGACCATGTTTTGGGCAAGAACAGCTCTTTAAATAATTCGTCTCTGGGATAAACAATTAGCTTCTTACATAAACAATTAAACCGATCTGGCTGAAATTTAGCACACGTATTAACACCAACGATGCTCTCGTTCTCATAATTTTTTAGCCATTTGCAATTGTTATTGCAATAGTTATAAACGTTTATTCAATATTGCTAAAAAGCCCCGTATTTATCTTAATTGTTTACCGATTTTAATTTTTGAAAAATAAAGTTGAAGGTCCTTTTATGCTCCAAAATTTCCGGTTTACCGATTATTTATGGAAATAAATTTGAAAATTATACAAGCAAAACACTGAATTTTGGACTTTTTTTATGTATTTGTCACTAGAAACACGATATCTGCTGTGCTTTTTTTCACCTTTTCTTATCTAGCCTGGACTAATAAGAAAACGGAGAATTACTAGAAGTGTCCTCACGAAACTTGAGTAGCAGAGTAATGTTACTGCAAAATTGGACGTAAGAACTCTATTTAGTTCTTGAAATATACTAAGTGACATATAAATCCGAACACCCAGTTTAAATGGTTTTATTTTAATAAAATTTTGTATAAGTACTTAATGAAGCATACGACCTTGCAAATTGAGCAATCTCCTACCCATCATATCCCACACGTGCTCAATTGGGGATAAGTCGGGAGATCTTGGTGGCCCTGGTAACAATGTGACATCATTATGTTGAAAGAAGTCTATTGTGACTCTTGCAACATGTGGTCGGGCATTATCTTGTTGGAAAGTTGGATCTGCCAGGGTGTCAAGATAGGGTAAAAGATGGGGTTCTAGAACTTCGTGGATATAACGCTGCGCGTTCATGTTACCTCTGATTAAGATTAAAGATGACCTGGAACCATAAGCTATAGCACCCCAAACCATAACTCCAACAGTGTGATGAACATGTCTTTCAACAAAAAACTGTGGATTCCTCCTTTCACCACGTCGCCTTCTAACCCTGGCACGACCATCGTGCATGCCTAAACAAAATCGAGACTCGTCACTAAAGACAATACTGTTCCATTCCTGATCCCAGAGTGACCGTTGTCTGCACCACTCAAGGCGATTACGTCGGTGTTCTCGAGTTAAAGGGAGGACCCAGTGTGGCCGGTATGAAAACAAGCCAAAACTTCTCATTCGTCGATAAACACTTCGCATGCCAATAGGTCTTCCGTGTTCTGCAAACCATTCATTTGCAATGGACCTGGTAATGGAGAAACGGTCCCTTAAGGCCAATAATCTTAGGCGGCGATCTTCACGGTCTGTTGTTCTACGGCGGCGTCCAGTGCCCCTTGCTCTTTGCGTACGGCCTTCTCGAAGCCATGCCTGATAATACCTAACCACAGTGACTACACTTCTTTACACTCTAACTGCAATTGCCCGAAAAGAAAGTCCAGCTGCCCGAAGTCCCACTATACGGCCCCTATCAAACTCACTAAGTTGACGGAATCGTACAGGTCTCCGTACTCTAGGCATCGTAACCGATCGTAAAGGATGTCAAGAACCAAAATCCGCCAACGTTGATTCTTTACTGCGGCTGAAATATTCATTTTTAGAGCGTTAGTGAATTAAAAAAAAGCAGTATAAAAATCGGAATGTCCAACTGATAAGGCTGAAAATTTTTTCACTTGTTATTTACAGTAAGATAAATACATTCACCAACTTTTATTAAAATAAAACCATTTAAACTGGGTGTTCGTATTTATATGTCACTTAGTATATTTAGCTATAAAGCTGACACATCCATTACTCGTACTTAGGTACTTAATTAAGCACTCAGTATCGATCAAGGTGCGGTTCCATTTAGTTTAGTTTTGCTAAGTGCAGTACTGGATGATTTGACCGACATTTTATTTCCTACTGCTGCGCTAGTCATATCTTAAATTAATTAAATAAATCTTTGGATTTGCTAATAAAAATAAACCACTCAACATCACTTGTCGCATCTGAAATCCTAAAACATAGTTACTTAGGCTTGTTCTAATATTTAAGTATCGCGCGCTACAATAAATTTTGCCACAAGGACAATCACACATCTAATCTTATTTCACAAGCCTTAATCCACCCATAATTGGATCACCTTCAATATAATTCCTCCACATGCCCGAGCACTTCTATACTCTCTTGCGGACAGGTAATGTGATTTACTAAGCTGGAGCTCATAAAAACTTCTCATAAATGTACCGTAAAATTATTAAACATACCGTATAGATATTATAAAAGCGTTTAGTCATACGGGAAAATAAATAGAAACGGGACAAGTCAATAACACTTCAACATACTATTAAAAGTTTTTATGTTGAGAGACCCTCTTTGAATAATAAAAGGAGTTCATTGATCCTTAGGGGATATTACCACTTCCGGAGGTAGATATATTCAGATATTTTTTTGAAAATGTTATTGTAGAAAATGTTACGTTTGCAGGGGTACGGCTTTTAGTTTCGAGAATGTCAGTCAGGTGCAAAGTAGTATCAGGCAAACAGAACTTTGATCGTGATATGATCAAAAAAGAGATGTGGTCGAGAACTTGCTCCCGATCTTTATATTATTTCTCTACTATCGTTTTAATTCAATTATTGATGTTTTTTTTATTTGTAGTCATATTACAGGAAGCGAGATTTAAATACAGGGTAACCGATATGTACCTGACTGGTTAGTATCTTGAATATTTGTGAAATGAAATGAAATACGGCCATCTTTTTCGTCTTAATCTTTTATTGAAACTTAGAAATTATGTATGAAAAATAATATCAGACAAATGTCCGCCTCTAGATTACGTTACGTGTATCAAAAATGTCGCGCAATTTAAATCGGTCAGTTTTATATTGAACACCCTGTATATCTGTTCTACCACCTAACCCCCTTAACAATATGATATGTATATGAACTGAAAATGTGTTGAAAATTAATACCTGTATACAATAACGACATAATAAAGTATAATCAAATCATAATGCCCGCTAACACTTAAGGGTTACAGCACAAATTTTGGTTTTTTAAGCAACCACCATACTTATTCAATAAGCTTGCGGTTTCGAGGCTACATATCACGTCCACCTCATCAAACCTCTTATTTTTGTAGTTCTTTCTAATAAAACATTTATAGGACAGGACATACGTCAGTCTACCTGTTTCTAAGGTGATCAACACAATATACTTGTCGTCAGAAAAAATAAAAAAAAATGTAAAAATATGTCATAAAATGAGAACAGTATAACCATAGTTATACCAAAGCTGGCATTGCCATTTCACAAAAGCATTTCGCCTAAAAACACCGTACAATTTTTTTTTCATAAGTACACATTAAACATTTAATTCCATACTTACTTTGTTGCAAGCTGGTGTTCAGCACAGAATTTCTGGCATCAATTAAAGATATTTCATGTTCTACGATGTACTCTTCATACTTCGACGCCTTATCGTATTCCAACACTGGTGTTGCCCAGCCATTTTTCAAAAGAAATAACACGACTAGTGTGGATTTCAGAAAACACACAATCATTTTTCATCCTGAATTCTGGAAAATACCGTTTCCGTGATGTTAGCGCGTCTGGAAAAAATATTAATAATTAAGCATGACAAATGTTCTTTTTAAGCTTTATGCTACGTTTTGTTATTATATATACTAAGTCACATATAAATCCGAACACCCAGTTTAAATGGTTTTATTTTAATAAAAGTTGGTGAATGTATTTATCTTACTGTAAATAACAAGTGAAAAAATTTCCAGCCTTATCAGTTGGACATTCCGGTTTTTATACTGCTTTTTTTTAATTCACTAACGCTCTAAAAATGAATATTTCAGCCGCAGTGAAGAATCAACGTTGGCGGATTTTGGTTCTTGACATCCTTCACGATCGGTTACGATGCCTAGAGTTCGGAGACCTGTACGATTTCGTCAACTTAGTGAGCTTGATAGGGGCCGTATAGTGGGACTTCGGGAAGCTGGACTTTCTTTTCGGGCAATTGCAGTTAGAGTGCAAAGAAGTGTAGACACTGTGGTTAGGTGTTGTCAGGCATGCCTTCGAGAAGGCCGTACGCAAAGAGCAAGGGGCACTGGACGCCGCCGTAGAACAACAGACCGTGAAGATCGCCGCCTAAGATTATTGGCCTTAAGGGACCGTTTCTCCACTACCAGGTCCATTGCAAATGAATGGTTTGCAGAACACGGAAGACCTATTGGAATGCGAAGTGTTTACCGACGAATGAGAAGCTTTGGCTTGTTTTCATACCGGCCACACTGGGTCCTCCCTTTAACTCGAGAACACCGACGTAATCGCCTTGAGTGGTGCAGACAACGGTCACTCTGGGATCAGGAATGGAACAGTATTGTCTTTAGTGACGAGTCTTGATTTTGTTTAGGCAGGCACTATGGTCGTGCCAGGGTTAGAAGGCGACGTGGTGAAAGGAGGAATCCACAGTTTTTTGTTGAAAGACATGTTCATCACACTGTTGGAGTTATGGTTTGGGGTGCTATAGCTTATGGTTCCAGGTCACCTTTAATCTTCATCAGAGGTAACATGAACGCGCAGCGTTATATCTACGAAGTTGTAGAACCCCATCTTTTACCCTATCTTGACACCCTGGCAGATCCAACTTTCCAACAATATAATGCCCGACCACATGTTGCAAGAGTCACAATAGACTTCTTTCAACATAATGATGTCACATTGTTACCATGGCCACCAAGATCTCCCGACTTATCCCCAATTGAGCACGTGTGGGATATGATGGGTAGGAGATTGCTCAATTTGCAACGTCCTCCTCAGACTCTAGAAGCACTTCGAGAGGAGTTGGTGGTTGCCTGGAATGAGATACCACAGGAGGACATTGACCACCTGATCAGAAGCATGCCTAGGCGCGTTGGAGAATGCGTAGCACATCAGGGTGCATCCACACATTATTAAAGGTCAAAGGGCTTTAAAGCAGTGTAATCATCTTGAAATTTTTATCATTTACTTATTATGCTTCATTAAGTACATATACAAAATTTTATTAAAATAAAACCATTTAAACTGGGTGTTCGGATTTATATGTCACTTAGTATATTTACCGCGCCATATGAAGCATGATAATTATATCAAAAAATCATTCAAATAGGTGGATCCACGGTTAAATAGTAGTAGGGTCGAAAGTGTAATTACGAATTTTGTGTTCAAGTTAACAGAGCTAATGCTTTTGGAAGTGATCATATATCTTGTTAACTTTTTGGCATGTTTGGGAAGTAGAAAATCCGCATGCTGTAAAAAGAACTCATTTTCAATATAGATTTTAATTAAATGTTTGGGCTGGCGTGATAAATGGCATGCTTATTGGACCCTACTTTTTTCCACCTTGACTGACCGGTGAAATTTGTTTAGATTTTCTAACACAATTTGCCACAATTATTAGAAGATGTTCCTCTAAACAGACCCATTTCTTGTCCTGCTCGCTCCCCGGATTTAACGACTTGCGATTTTTTTTTGTGGGGCTATTTGAAAGAGTTGGTGTATCATGATGGAGCAGTAAATAATAATAATAGTAATAATAATATTTATTCACTCAATGTACAAAGATAACAAACAATATGAGTAAATAAATATAAAATCAAAACAGGCCCAATAGAAGGCATCGCCTGTACATGGACCAATAAATTTAAGTTGAAACTGTAGAATGCAAATGACAAAAAAGGACAAAAATTAGCTACAGTAGTTTATGTATTTAGTTGATGTTCGTATTTATGAGTTTATGAATTTCAGTCCTAGATATAGAATGTAGCCACTTTTTTAAATTTCTTTTGAAACAATTTCCGAAACGTAAATCTTTTGAATCTTTAGGTATAATTTCATAAAATTTAGGCGCTAAATAGAGATATGATCGCTGCATTATAGATTTATGCGGATGAGGAACTACTGTGCTACGAATTTTGTACCTGGTATAATGATTATGTTTAATTTTTTGGTCGGTGTTTACAAATTTATGGTAGTGAATGATACTGTGTAAGAAATAAAGCTGTCTTATATCATACATTCGAACATCTGCGTATAATTTTTCAGTGGGATAAAGTTTCGGTTTTTTAAATATCATTTTTAGAATACTTTTTTGAAAAACATCTAAATTATAGATATGTGAGGAACATGCAGCTCCCCATGCTAATATACCATATGTGAGATGAGGCTCAATCAGTGCATGGTATAATGTTCGAAGATATTTTTCTGTCAATATATTCCCAAGGTATTTAATTTTGTGGGATACAAATCTAACTTTCTTTAAAATATAATTGACATGGATGTCCCATAGTAAGTGAGGATCCAAGACCACTCCAAGGTATTTTATGTTGGGCACTCTATTAATTTGCATTTTTTGATCATTAATATTGAAGGAGAAATTTGTGTAATTTGGCAGATGTCTAGCATAAGATCCAAATGGTAAAAAATGTGTTTTAGAGTAGTTACTGCTTAATTTTCTACTGTTAAACCACCGAATAATTTTGATAAAATCATTTTCAATTACATTTTTCAGATCAGACCAGTCAGTGCCTTCATATAATATTGCAGTATCATCTGCAAAACTAGTTATTTTGCCAACACAATTAATTTGGAAAATATCATTTAAATATATATTGAATAACAGCGGACCTAAGACAGTTCCTTGTGGGACACCACACTTAATATACATTTCTTTACTAAATGATCCTGATATCTGCACAGATTGTGGGCGATTTGACAAATAACTTTCGATCAGTGAGTACGCGTTTCCTCTGAAACCAATTATCTCCAATGCTTCTAATAATAATTTGTGATTAACTGTGTCGAAAGCTTTCTTTAAATCAACAAAAATGCAGATTGAAGGGATTCTGTTATCAATATTTTGATGTATTTGATTTACAATTTTAGTTATTGCGTCCGATGTAGCCTTCCCTTCTGTAAATCCATATTGATTTTCACTTAAAATTTTGAATTTTGTGAGGTATCGAATCATTCTAGTAGATAAAATTTTTTCAAAAACCTTTGCTACACTGGATATTAATGATATTGGTCTATAGTTGTTAACATCTGTTTTTGTTCCTGATTTATGTATCGGTATTATATTACCTTTTTTTAAAATTGAGGGATATATGCCAGATTCAAAGCATTTGTTGATTAGGTAAGTGAGTGGTTCTGTTATGTCCTCGGCTACAATTTTCAAATGCTCGCTTTTAATACCATCGAACCCAGGACTTTTCCGATTTTTTAAGGACATAATAGTGGTGTATACTTCACATTGCTCGACTTTATCCAAAATAAATGAGTTCAAAGTTCTTTTTGGAGGCTGAGTATTTTGTACATTTGCTTGTATATTACTTGCTAAATTTTCGCCTATGTCAGTAAAGAATTGTACAAATTCATCGCATATCTGTTGAGTATTTTTTTAATACTGTTCCCGATGTTGTATTTAACTCAGTGACATACTCTTTAACTTTTGTTTTCCCAATCTCATCAATAGTTGTCCAAAGCCGCTTAGGATCATTTAAGTTATTATTCAATTTATTTAGGTAATGTTTTCGTTTGGTTTGCCTTACAAGCTCTATAAATTTATTTTTATATTGGTTGTAGCAGTCGGTATTCTCTGTAGTTGGCGTTAGTTTCATTACATTATATAGTCTTTCTTTTTCTATTTTTCTATACTCTGGAAGAATTTCAACAGCATACTGAAATTGCTCCGTGGACACCAGGGACTTTATTTTCAAGGCTTGTAAAGAGTCGTGGATTCGCCGAGGAAGGTTTTGCGTCAATCGAACGAATGGGGACAATTTTGAACAGTTTTTGTAAAAACGGTATCCATTTAACTTGATAATGATTTTTTTAAATAATTTTCATGAATGTAAACTAACTCCCTCATTATACAACTTTTATATAGGTGATTTTTGGTATATCAACTTCTTTTGTGAGTTCCACAAGCAGTTAAAATAAATGACTCATCTTTGAATATCCATTAAGTACTGTAAGAATTTTTTATCCTGTAAATAATTTTTTGAAATATGAACTATGATAATACCAATATTCAATTCCTCAACTTCCTGTTTGCAATTTTCCCTGTATTAAAAAAACATCTCGACAAATGGTTTTTATATAAATTACGTCTAGAAAACAACTCCTCTTACCGTTTTTACATCAGCATTCCTTCTAATGTCTTCTCAGCAGCACGTCACCCACAGAACACCAAAAATTTCAAAATTGCAGAAACAGCGCTCTTCAGATTCCGAAATTAAAAAAATATTGGTGCGTTTCAGATTACAAGCACAAATTGACCGATTATCAAAAATAAAAAATTCTGGCCTGTTGCAGATTAAAATCACAAGTTGACCGCCGCAGCCGCTAATAAGTCGCGTTCTGTTGCATTGCATACACTTGTCGCCACTTAACAAGTGAACAACTCTGTGACTAAACCAAACAATGCTGATTGTTTGCGATAGATACACGGCAAGGCATGGCATACCGCGATATCGGCCTCCTCGAATTAAATTTTCCCTGTCGGAACATGCGCGGATCAAAGATAGTGTCGCGGAGGCACGGTTTGTGGTAGGTCAGTCGAGTTTAATCTCCGTTTGGCTTGGAGGATTGCCATTTGGGTTTCTTGGTGTTTAAATGTATAATGTATATATCATCTTGCAGATCCAACATGTCAAATCTGCGAAAATCAAAAGTCCGTCGTGGGTAGAAGACGGTCCGTGACTGTCGAAGAGGAGGTACCACCCGGCGGATCTCTACGATCATTATTCCTTCGTGGTGGTTGAAGCATAAAAAATGGTGAAACCAAGTCGATAACGTCTGAAATTTTGATTTCTGTGTCGCATAAACTGATAATAAATATACTAAGTGACATATAAATCCGAACACCAAAAATTTCAAAATGATTGCACTGCTTTAAAGCCCTTTGACCTTTAATAATGTGTGGATGCACCCTGATGTGCTACGCATTCTCCAACGCGCCTAGGCATGCTTCTGATCAGGTGGTCAATGTCCTCCTGTGGTATCTCATTCCAGGCAACCACCAACACCTCTCGAAGTGCTTCTAGAGTCTGAGGAGGACGTTGCAAATTGAGCAATCTCCTACCCATCATATCCCACACGTGCTCAATTGGGGATAAGTCGGGAGATCTTGGTGGCCATGGTAACAATGTGACATCATTATGTTGAAAGAAGTCTATTGTGACTCTTGCAACATGTGGTCGGGCATTATCTTGTTGGAAAGTTGGATCTGCCAGGGTGTCAATATAGGGTAAAAGATGGGGTTCTAGAACTTCGTGGATATAACGCTGCGCGTTCATGTTACCTCTGATGAAGATTAAAGGTGACCTGGAACCATAAGCTATAGCACCCCAAACCATAACTCCAACAGTGTGATGAACATGTCTTTCAACAAAAAACTGTGGATTCCTCCTTCCACCACGTCGCCGTCTAACCCTGGCACGACTATCGTGCATGCCTAAACAAAATCGAGACTCGTCACTAAAGACAATACTGTTCCATTCCTGATCCCAGAGTGACCGTTGTCTGCACCACTCAAGGCGATTACGTCGGTGTTCTCGAGTTAAAGGGAGAACCCAGTGTGGCCGGTATGAAAACAAGCCAAAACTTCTCATTCGTCGGTAAACACTTCGCATGCCAATAGGTCTTCCGTGTTCTGCAAACCATTCATTTGCAATGGACCTGGTAGTGGAGAAACGGTCCCTTAAGGCCAATAATCTTAGGCGGCGATCTTCACGGTCTGTTGTTCCACGGCGGCGTCCAGTGCCCCTTGCTCTTTGCGTACGGCCTTCTCGAAGCCATGCCTGACAACACCTAACCACAGTGTCTACACTTCTTTGCACTCTAACTGCAATTGCCCGAAAAGAAAGTCCAGCTTCCCGAAGTCCCACTATACGGCCCCTATCAAACTCACTAAGTTGACGAAATCGTACAGGTCTCCGTACTCTAGGCATCGTAACCGATCGTAAAGGATGTCAAGAACCAAAATCCGCCAACGTTGATTCTTTACTGCGGCTGAAATATTCATTTTCAGAGCGTTAGTGAATTAAAAAAAAGCAGTATAAAAACCGGAATGTCCAAATGATAAGGCTGACATTTTTTTCACTTGTTATTTACAGTAAGATAAATACATTCACCAACTTTTATTAAAATAAAACCATTTAAACTGGGTGTTCGGATTTATATGTCACTTAGTATATTTGAATGGAAAAAATTAGCTGATAAACCAAAGGTGCAATGAATCTATTTTTCTGATTAATAAGCTTGAAAATACAAAATGATTAAAAAAATCGAGACTGGCCCTAGAAATCCGTTTGGTTAGTTTCAGGCTTCTCATAGATAACTTTGTTAATGTGCTAATTTTCATTGAAATCAGTTAAATAGTGCCCGACTTATGTGATGTTCACTATGTGGCGTATTTTGATAAAAGCCTGTATATCTGTATTTAATAAGTTTAGAACTTTTTCATTTTCTGATATAAAAATATATCGGTACATACTACCTATACCTGCCATTTCACTATGTCAATTTCCCCATGGAGTACCCTCTATATATAATCTTTACAACATATTTATATTCTATCTCTGGAGTCTGGATACAAAAGGAATATACTCAGTGATATTAGAAGTGTTACATCCAGAAAGAAATAATTTTTTCAACTTGCATTTTAGCAATGAGGTGGTCTTACATCAAGAATAAAACGATTACATTCTCACGAAATTTTATTATAAGAAAAAAAAATTATGTGTTGGGCGACCCCGTAGCTGAATACAATCCTGCATACGTCTAGGCATCGACAAAATAAGATGATCGATGTCTGGTAGCGGCACCTCATTCCAAGCATTTCCAACTTCGTGGATTAGCTGTGGCTGGGTCTGTGGCGGATGGTGCAAAGTGGATAGTCTCCTCCCCATCATATCCCACCCATGTTCGATGGGATTTCAATCCGGTGAACGGGGTGGCAATGGCAAAACGTTAACGTCTGCTTCTTGAAGAAAATCCGTAGTACGACGAGCAATATGGGGACGTTCGTTGCCGGCCCTCTAGATACGGTAGTAAAGTTGCTTGTAGGATACCATCAACGTAACGCTCAGCAGTCATTGCCTTGAACGAAGAGATCGGCTATCACAGGCAATAGCTTCCCAAACCATTACTCCAACAGTCAGTCCTGTGTACATGCCTCTCTACCACCATCGTGCGTACTCAGACAGAATCGCGATTCGTCGCTGAAGATGTCATTATGCCATTCTGCCTCCCAATGTCCCCATTTCAAACTTTGACGACAGTGGTCCACAGTCAGAGGAAGCACTAACCGTGGACGGTATGAAAAAAGTAAAACGCTCGAATGAGGCGATGAATGAATGAATCTTGAAATTAGAGGCATTCCGGCCACCATAAGGAGCCAGTGCATAGGCTGCTTAAGCAGGCCCTTATGCACCTCTACATTCCTTAGATCACAAGCCTCGCCCTTTTAGCGAAGTTGAGAATCGCCTTGAGTCCAAGCTCCTTGATGTCCTGAGGGTCCAAAGTAATGGACCCCAGTATAGTCTGTCTACCATACGTGCGCCGAGGTCTCTTCCTCTACCCCGCATCGTTCACACAAGGGATCCTCAGCCACCCCCATCACGTGCAGGTGACGCCTTAACGATTTATGGCCAGACAACAGTCCCACCAGCAACCTTAGGTTGGCTCTATCCAAAGATAGGCAGAAACGTCCATCCTTAGGACTGGGCCCTTCAATGAGTTCCCCTGCCTGGCGGAGATGTCTGGAGATACTTCTCCATTTCTGAGAGTGTTGTCTTGCAACCCACGTCTTCATATGCGTGGTCACTCCTAGAGCTGGTTCAGGACCAACGAGCTTGCTGGCTGATCCTGTCTTCGCCAGAGTGCCCGCCGTCTCATTGCCCCTTATCCCAGCGTGCCCCGGTACCCATATTAACGATACCGGATGCCTCGCTGCGAGGCAATCCAGAGCCTCCCTGCATTGATATAATCTACTTAGATTTTTCTAGGGCTTTCGATCGCGTACCACATAGAAGGCTTCTGTTTAAGTTGGAATGTATGGGAATAAGAGGCGAGTTGTTACTGTGGATTAAGGCTTTTCTCACCGGGAGGACTTTCTCTGTGCGCGTCAGTGATAGCCAGTCTCACCTTCATCATGTAGCAAGTGGAGTTCCTCAAGGCTCTGTCTTGGGGCCAGTGCTGTTCCTTCTGTATACAAGTGACCTGCCCGCATTGATTTCCTCCACCTGTTCAGCTTATGCCGACGACACCAAGATTTACAATACTGTCGTAAATTCTGCTATGCTTCAACGAGATCTTGATATTGTTTGTCAATGGTCAGTCAGTTGGCTTTTACCCTTAAATCTAACTAAGTGTTGTGTCCTTCACCTAGGGAAGACAAATCCGCGATTTACATACAAGATCTCTGACCACAACATCGAAGCAGTTTCCAGCCACACTGATCTGGGCGTTGTAGTCAACGATCGTCTTTCCTGGTCAGAGCATATTCACCACGTTACATCAAAAGCCAAGAAACTTCTATACATGCTGGAGAGGTCTTTCAAAGGATCCGATGTCAACACTTGCGCCTACATTTACAAGGCATTCGTGAGGCCAATTCTTGAATTCGCTGGCCCGGTATGGGACACTGTGCTTCTGCGCGATAGAAATCTCGTCGAATCAGTACAGCGTCGGGCTACTCGTATCCCTTTTGGAGCACGAAGACCAAGCTATGAAGATCGCCTTGAATTATTCAACCTGACCTCATTCTCTGAGCGAAGACTTCGTGGCGATCTTATAGTTACGTTCAGGATACTTCATGGTTTGATGGGCACCAACCTCATGCATCTATACCGTCTGTCGCGCAGCAATCTACGCGGACACAGCTTCAAACTGCATAAGGAGCCATTTAAAACAACAGTCCGACAGAGGTTTCTTCCCAACCGCATATTCAACACCTGGAATAGTTTACCTGAAAGTGTGGTTGGTGCTACTTCAGTTAATAGCTTCAAAGTGCAGTATGATAGCTGGAGGAGTGTACAAACTTTATAGCTATGAACTGTCTTTTTTTTATTTTTTTCTATTTGATGTATTTGTGTTACGTGTCCGTACACTATATTTACTGCATGAGCTTATAGTACTGTGTACTCTGCTCATCTCAATTATCATAATAATAATAATAATAATTATAATTGCAATACAAGAATCGAAGTAATCTTACAGGCACTTAGTGCTTTCATTGCAGCCTGGCTGTCGGATAAGATTGTTATTCTTCTCCTAGGCCCACCCTCCTCCAGAATGTGATATACACGAGCCAGAATCGCAAAGATTTCCGCCTGGAAAATAGTTATGTATCCACCGAGAGGCAGAGATAGCCTAGTTCTAGGCCCAGAGACCCCAGTACCGGAGCCCTCTTCGGTGACCAAGCCGTCCGTGTACCAGACCTGCCCGCTCACTCTGGAGAGTCTCCGGCTACCGTCGTCCCACTCCCCCTCCACAATAAACTTGCGGTTGAAGCGATATTTAGGGGTAATACGATCACCTCTGCTTAGAAGGACGGGGTCCTCG